TCTCAGATAATGAATTGTTTAATTTCCGATCCAGTGACTTAAATCTGCCAAAAACTTATTGGTTACTTAAGATATAGAAAAAACGGTATTCCGTTTAGGATCATTGTGTCTTCTATGAATACAGCCTATATATTATATCCCAGATTCCTACAAAACATTATTTCGAAAAGTATCCCCCCTGTAAAAAGTCAGATAAAAAATAGCTTTGAACTTTATAAATCTTTAGATAAAATGACAATTGATTTATCAGAAATATGTAATGTAATTTATAAAATCAATTGTAATGATTGTGACGTCTCTTATGTCGGACAAACAAAAAGACAGCTTCAAACTAGAATTAAAAAGTATCGTAATAATATAAAATTAGATCAATCCAAACATTCAGTGGTCACGAAACACATTATTGAGTCTAATCACAGCTTTGACTAGGATAACATGGAAATTTTAGATCACGAGACAAATTTCTGAAAAAGAATTATTTCGGAAATGATTCACATAAAACGTTAAAAAAACGGAATAAATCTAATGAAGGATATCGAGTTGTTAGATCAATTTTATTTTAACATACTTGACGACATATGCTAATTAAGATTGTAACATTTTCGAACATACTTTATGTCATGCTTTAACGATATATATTCTCTGATCTATAATATCAGTCCATATTAAAATCTGACAAGCAAGAGTTGTTTTATTATACACAATGACACAGTTACTGACTTCGATTTTAATTCAATAAACTATTTTAATTCAATTAATTATAAATTAACGTAAGTTCGAACATAATTTCTCATTATTATTCAATTAACTTATACTAATCATTTATTTATAAATTGACATTCATTACACAGAATATATTAGGATAGTCATTGAATGAAATCTTGATCGTCGTATATTTTTATAAAATCGTTGACTGAGCTGAATTCTCTGAGCAGGATTCTCAACCGAGGATTTAAAACACACTTTTATAATTCGGACTTCAAACTTCTGACTAAATACCTATTTCGATCTGTAATATTTAAAGGAAGAAATAAGTATGTAAGATTAGCCTAAGGCGATAATTTTTATTATTTTATTATTGTAAGTTCATTGACTTTGTAAGGGGTTATTTAAAAATGTTGTTATATATTTTACTGAGGAAGACTTTGTAAATCGAAACATTTGAAAAATTTTATAGCATTGTACTTATTTAATTAAAAAAGGATTTTTATTTTATGAATAACTATAATTGCTCGTTTAAGGGAATATTCTACTTCGTCAAAAAAATCGATTTTTTTTTAATTGCATTTTCAGAAAGTTGATAGTTTTGAAAATATATTACTAAAGCCGTTCATAGAAATAATGTTAAATAACTGAATTATTCATTGTGTGTGTGTGTGTGTTTACTAAAATGGTCTACAGGTAGAAATTTGGCGCGCTAGAGTTTTGGTCCGCCCTACGGATCTCCGATTGTTATTACTCGAACAAAGGAACATCTGCCTATTTCTATCTCTTTTTATATTCCAATTAAATTAATTTTATAAATGAGAGGAAGGATTGCTGTACGGACCAAGAATAGCTGATTAAGCTGAAATAGCTGTAGATATAATTAATCTATTTGTAAATCATAGTTGAAACGCATTTTTCTCAAAACAGCATTTATCAATCGCGTTGATATAATATCTCGGGAACTAAGCGTCCGATCGACTTAAATTTTTGTGTGTCCATTTAGTAAATGTTCTTTTATATATATTACTAAAACTACGGAATTTAATTTACGATTATTTTATTTTATTATATAAAAAGAAAACGAAATCAATTTATAGGTAAAAATTAATATCATTTTTCAAAAAATTACCGTTTCTACAATTTTCAATTTTTTTTCTTATGTTCTAGTTCCAGTAATAGTGTAACTCTTACAATTTAATAATTTCCTTGGTTTTTTTGGTTTCGGAAAGAAATTTTTTTCATACGTCTTATGTATCACCGCGTACTTTTTTTTGTATAATACATATGGACACAAAAAAATAATTTTTAAATATCTATTTTGTACAAATAAAGTTTCAAAAAGTTTCATATTAATATATTAATTCATTTCTTTTAAAAAAATTCCTGAATAATCATGTAATTTTTAGCCTTACAAATAAGAAAACCCCCTTAAAAAAACCTTGACTTATTAATTAATTGCGTTAAATGTACACGAGCCTATTTTTCTATATATATTTTCCGACCTATAATATCAGTCCATTCCAAAATGTTTGACAATCAATAGCTGTTTTATTACACATGATGACATAGTTTTTGATTTTGATTCAATAGACTATTCTATATAAATTAATGTGTGAACATAACTTCTCATCATTATTATATTAATCAATATCAAATTAATTATATTAATCATTTAATTATAAATTGACAGTTAATTATACAAAATATAATAGGTTAATAATTGAAGAAATCCTCGATCGGACTGTCGTATTTTTTATTAAATTATTGACTGAGCTGGATTCTTGATATAAAAACTGAAGAATTAATAAAACACACTTATACAATTTGGATTTCTAAACTTCTGACTGAATACCTATTTCAATCTTTAATATCCTAACGCAGGAATAAGTATGTAAAATTAGATTAGAGCGGCAATTTTATTATGTATTACAATGTAAGTTCGTTGATTTTGTAAGGGGTTATATAGAAATGTTATTATTTATTATTATTGAAGAAGACTGTAAATCAAAATGTTTGATGAATTTTTTGTAGCGGTGTGAGTATGTAATTAAAAAACATTATTTTTTTTTTTTTTTGAGTTAAATGCAATTGCTTGTTTAAAAAAAGCCTTGATATATTAATTATATTGCATTATATTGAAATTATTTTGTAACTGATTTTCTACATTGTTTATCGTTTTGAGAAATAATTCATGATAATTAATCATTAACTTAGATCACGCGATCACGTTTTCGAGTACGCTATCTGTCTATACGAAGGGAGAGTAACTTACTATATCATTCGTTGAGTCATGCGTAGAAAGTGCTTCGCGTCTCGGATCAAGTGGTGAGATACACAAACGTTGTGACATAAAAGGCGATTGTGTAAATCGCAATTTATCGCGAAAAAGAAATCGTAATATATGCAAAATAAGCGAGCTAAAGAAAATGCTTCTAATCTATCGCTGAATAATCTGCGATAAATTATCATTGGTAAAATTGTATGATAATTGCGAACGTAATGTGATTTGCAAATAAAACAAGAAAACAAGAAGCAAAAATCGCAATCTTATACAAAGTTCAGTTTCTACGTATTTTGTATCTTTTTATATTGATGTTAGTATCTTTTTATGTTGACTAAGTTTGCTCATGTTGCTTGAATAATCTTTAAAAAATTTTGCACTTAAACGAGTGCTCTTAAATATATATTTGGGTGTGGAAGAAAGAAAGCGGATATTCTCAGTACAAAAAGAGCAAGCAACGCGAACAGACCTGTACTGAGTTTTCTTAAAAGGAGTATAGATGAATGAATATCTATTGCAATGTAGAGAATGTTCAAAACTAACAATACGAGAAAAAAAGAAGCGATTGTTATGTCGCCAGACCGACGAAATATTAGAAAAGTCAAACGAGTTTGGGTCGTTCGTCACTTTCGCCTACTGAATTACTCTTGCCAGTTGAATATGCAAAACGGATTTTCACTAAATGTAAAAGCAGGACCGTCTTACCATTGATCTTATAGCGAAGCACTTTTTATTTTTCAATAAAATAAACGTTTAAGACTTGCGCGAAATGCAAATAATCTGTACGAAAATTTTGTAACAATCCTCTTTCCTTCCTTGATATGACTTGCTAAATTACAGTGAATTACGGTAATTTTAAGTATTAATATAAGAGATCGAAGAAGAAAACAATGTTTTTATGGAACATTTCTTAACCCATAAATTGCTCGAAATTTTGAACATCGTGTTCAATACAATATTCAACGCGATTTATAATATTTCTCTTCAGCATTTCTATTGTGATGCCTTCAACAGCTCTAGTGATTTTACGTCGTAAATGTTATTTTTCAACAAGATGGGGCTCCACCACATAATGCTGTAGCCAATTTTTTAAATGATAGATTCCCTAATTATTAGATAGATACTAATGGTCCTACACAATGGCCACTGAGATCTGCGGATTTGACACCTTGCGATTTTTTTCTTTGGGAATATAGATATCTACGCAACTGTTCCTGAAAATGGAGAAGATTTGAGCTATTGAATTTACAGTAGAAATGTTGCAGTCAACACTAAGAAATATTATAAAACGTGTTGAAAACGGTAGTCAAAATTTTGAGCAATTTATGGGTTAATAAATGTTCCATAAAAAATGTTTGTTTTCTTCTTCAACCTATCTTTGACATTTCAAATGTTTAATATTATTTAGAATCCAATTTATTGCTTTGATATTTAAGATGTTGATTATCTCGTAAACGATGCATAATAACAATTTTTTACTACATATAATTTTGATTGCAAATGCTCCCTCTACTGTACAAATATACAAAAAAATTATAGGTATTTATTTAAAAAATCTATGTTAGCCTACATAATTCAAAAAAGCCAAAAGTAGAAAAAAAATTTTATATGCACTTTTATATAGCTAACTCGGAACTGTACAAATTTCTCTTATTAAACTTTCTTGTAACTTCAATTAGTTGCGAGATATTTGCTTGGACATTTATAGACGGACACCCTGCGATATATATATATCCCGTAAAATATTGAATCGTCAATTAATCTAAAAAAGTCGAATTTAGTGTGCCACGTGCTTTAGTATAAATACACACGACATTTTTCATCGTGCGCACGAAAGTATGGTTTTTTATGCTGCGTCCGAGAATTACGACAAATTACGAAAAACCATTTTCTACGATCTGCACTGGTCATAGATACAATTATCTGATCTATGCAAATAGATATGTAAGCTAACGCGAAAACACGATAAACTGTGATTTTCGCGCATTTGTAAACGAAATGTTAATCTTACCTGATATTAACTTTATGCACGATATAATAAATAACGTATAATAAATATTGATTATCTATATATTAGTCCGTCATACTTGCTTATAACGCAAGCGCGTAGATCGACAAACCGATTTAAAATATATTAAAGATTTATCCGACCCGTTCTCACTTTCACCTCGTGTGTACGAAGAACCGATCTGGAGCACCGTGATCACGAAAAATCAATGGTAAGAAAGACACTGCGCGCACGCGAACACGGGGAACGATCGTGGCGCAAAGCGGTATGGTATGATACCATCGCGTTGGCGAACAGCAACTGAAGAAGGAGAAGTCTTTTAAATCAGCTGTACACACACGACAAGAAACGGGAATAAAGCGAGAAGTGTCCCTCACATGAGTAAAAGCGCTCTCGGTACGGTGAACGATTACTTTTACGCTAGGCGTATATCCGTTCTCGAGGTTGTCCCCTGCAGTGTGCCTTCCCTACCTTCAATTTTATCTTCGATTTCTATTATCGTTCGTATTGAGAAGTTTTTTTCTTTAGTGCATTTCTCTCACTTTTTATTAATGACAAATAAGTTGTACTTCACGCGTTCTTAATTCTTATAGATTAAAATATTCCTAAGTAGGATACATAATATCATAATACAAGGATATTATCATGACCTTATTTGTCTCTTATAAGTTCATTTTTAAGTGACAAATGATATCATGATGACATTTTATATCGTTTTTATGACTTAATTAATGTATATAATTGAAACTGTGTTTTATCTGGGTTATTTCGGTAAAAATCGAGCCTTAGGAATATCTGAACACTGGGTGATGTCTTTCGGTTATTGAGAAACTAACGAATAACATTGATTGAGAAAGAGGAGAGACGAAAAGAATCGATCGATTTTAACAACTACGCGATTATACTTGCAAATTGCTATTTGCAATTGTCCTTTCATTAATGCCGGTATCGTCGACATCTGTTAAGTCTAATATATTCTTTTCTATATATAGAAAACCTTTTTTATGACAGAGTTTGATTTAAAGTATCTTATAGAGAGTAATTTTACAAAATTTTGGTTTCAGAGTATCTGTACTTAGAAAGTACAGATTTAATTTCTGTAATAGAAGATACAAATGAAATACATAAAAATGCTGAATGAAGAAAGAAATAAGATATAACGTTATATAATAAAAGTATACAAAAAAATTTTTATTGTATCAATAACAATAAAAGAAGTTAATTAAATTATTCACTTAAAATCTTGTTTCCTTTCACTGCAGAGCATTAACGTTAGCCAAATACATACACGCCCTATATATGACATTTGCAGCGAAAGGACTGATAGAAGAGGAATGCAAAGCTTTAGAAAAAAATGACAAAAAAAAGAAAAATCCAAAAAGGTTTCAATATAGTACATACTTGGGTTGCTTTGTGAGAAACGAAATGAAAGGCGCAGTAAGACAGAACACTACAAGAGAGAACATTTTAAAAAGCACATTCCATAACAATATGTCCAAATGACGTCGCGTTTGTCATACATGGACTTACTTAAGTATGTCATTCAAGATAACAATAGACATCTTTCATATGTACGCAATGTACTATTCAAGACGTCAAATAGGCGTTAGTACATCCAACCCTCAATAGCATAGAGAATTAATTCTAAAATATTCTTTCCTTATATATAAATTTTTTAGAAAAAGGGAAGGACATTGAACAGTAGCGACAGGCGATACAATTCGATTAGCAGCATCGATATTTTTTATCTTAAATATCGATACCCCAACAGCTTAAAATATTGCAGCAATCTGCAGTAATATTATAATAGTACACAATATTATAAAAATTGCAGCAATATTATTGAAATTTTAATATTTTATTGGGAATATTGCAGCAATATTGTGTAATATTATAATTTTAATATTTGTAAGGAATATTGCAATATATTAAAGAACTGGAAAGGATACGGGCAGTAGAAGTCAAACGCAAAAGACGTCGCGCAAATAATATATCTATGAAGTGAAACTTCTTTATGCAATATATTGTTACGATATTATAATTCAACATGTAAGTACACGGCCCTTCGAAATGGATGCGCTTATCGTAAGAAGAAAACGCGTTCAAGAATCCTATAATGAACATTAAAGGCGAAAAATCGACATTTTTGTAAAAAATCGTTTTTTTTCTTTTTGCATAACAATACTTGTATCGATACATGTACCATACAATGGGTCAGAAAAGTTGCAACAATTTTTTTTCGATATGCTTCGGAATGCAGTCTGCTCACCAGAGTAATTGATACATACTTATGGTTTAACCGCTCTGAGCAAGACTGAATTCTGAAACATATAAAAAAAAGTGCAACCTTTTTGTGATCCACTGCCATTAGTATAAATAAAATTCCGATATTTATGCATCAATAGTGTTAATATCGACACTTTTACTTTGATACTCAATATTAAAACTATACAGCAAAGCATAACTGTAATATAACTTAGAGAACACAATATTATATTTCATGATTATGGAAATGATATGTAAGTGTCGCATAACTTTGAGAATGCTTTAGAAAAACAAAATTATATTTCTTCGTTATGTTATATAATTATAACAATTATTTTAAAATGTAATCTAACACATATCCCGAAATAGCACACAAAAATATTACGCACTTCGTATTTAAAATTAAAAAATTGTAAATTTTTTGTTCTTTATAATTCAAATAATAACATTCATTATCAATGTTGTATTTGAAATACAAAATACAAAATATTTTTAGTCTTTCGTTATTAATATTAAAATATAAAATACTTTTATATGCTCCCATGAGATACAATATATTATACATTATTTCCTCCGTTAAAATGCATAATACAAAATACATTTGTCTCACAACTGTTCTTCAAATAAAAGTATTTCAAATATAGCCAGCCCTATCTATACAGAATCCCATTTTAAAGAGCTAAAACATCTCAGAAACACTGCGTTAAATCAAAAAATGTTTCAGACAAAAATTTTTTTTATGTAAAAATGAATTTGTAATGCAAAAATGAAAATAAGAGGAACAATCTCCAATGGCCTTAATCTTAATAAATAGGATAAAATCACTAGATATCAGTCATCAAACATTACTTCCGGATCACATTTTATATTTAAATAATTATAGTATTTTTCATTAAATAGTACATATAAAATTCTTTAGCATTTGTTTTATCTTTTTTAAGTGTCAATTGAATTTGATTATTAGGAAGAGCACTATACATTTTATTGATATTGTTAACTAATTAAATATGCGAAGTTAATTAACATATGTATTTTTAAAAATTCATTCAAGGTTAACATACGCTCTCAAGACATAGTTATAATCACATCGCATTATAACGGATCATCGTTATACTGAGTACAATTTAAATGATTGAATTCTTGTTTGGTTATCCAATTAAATACAGACGATAATGAAGTTCTTAATTTTGGACAGCCTAACGATGATCCACTGACAGCATTCGCCTATTGTTTTACAACGTATCAAGTCCGATAATTTCATTTTGTTATACTGAAGAGGACCTAATCTTATGGTCAAAACGTCAATAATTGATGATTAACATATGGTATATATTATTTTTTATTAACACGTACAACTGTGTCGGCTCTCATTAGCTTTACACTCCTTTATTGATTTAATCTTTAGAGTCATTTTCAATTTTAATTATTAATATACGAGGGGGGACCTATAAGTTCCGGGAATTACGCTGTGGTGGGGAGGGAGAGTGGGGGAACCTATTGTTTGACCACATGTCCGTTAGTGTCACGCCACCTGCGTCAGTGTGCGAAGTTGTGTAGCTGTGAGTGCATCGGTTCGCCTGTGAGATTTTTTTTAGTAAAACAACTTTTTACATTTCGGCGAAAACTGGTTCTTCCATCATGACAACGCGCTGGCCCACACCGCCCTTTCCGTGAAGCAATTTTTGACCAAAAACGCCATGACACCAATTGTCCACCCCCCATACTCACCGGATCTAGCCCCCTGTGACTTCTTTTTGTTCCCCAAATTCAAAAGGAATATGAAAGGAAAGCGTTTTGCCACTGTGGAGGAGGTGAAACAAAAATCGCTGGAAGGCTTAAAGGACATCCCGATGAGTGAATTTAAAAACTGTTTTGAACAATGGAAGAATCGTTTGGAGAAGTGCGTTGTGGTCAATGGCGAATACTTTGAAGGTGATTAAAATTTGGTGTTAAAATATTGAGAAATAAAGAAGTTATGACGAAATTCCCGTTTTTTTTGGGTCCCCCCTCGTATGTCTCTTTAAAAATTTATTCAAAGTAATATAAAAGTAAATAATATAAGAATTACCTTTTATAATAAAACTTACAAAAGAAATTTTACAACTATCCGAAACCGATTTGATTTTCCATGAAATATGTTGTTAAACACAAAAACCTAAGAGATATGTATTTTTTTATACATGCCTTAACTCATGTCATTTTAAGGGGTAAAACATTTTGAAAAAAAACCGGTATTTTTCTTTTGAGGCGAATATCATCGGGAGTTATAAAAGAAAAAAATTTTTTTAAACAAAAGTTGTACGTTTTCAAGAGTACTTTAAAGTTATAAAGAAAAAAAACTTTTTTATTTTTTTGTTTATATATAACAAAATATCCCCATTGCCCATAATTTTCTTAAAAATTTTCAATTTTTTTTACCAAATTAAAGATTATTTTTTTACGAATTCAACTATGTATAATAAAGTTATATTATCATTTTCACGAATTATCATTTATACGACATATCATTTTCGAGAATTAATTATACGCTTCCGTATATACGCTAACCATGCTCATATGCGTAAATAATTGTCGTCAGAACAATAGAATACATAAATCAATAAACATGGAAATTGACATGATTGATATTTGTAACATTACAAATTATAAATAATGTTAAGAATTATAATAATTTATATAATAATTCCTATACGGTTACCGTATATTACAAATATAATATGTTGACGACATCCTTTTGCTCTAAATGAATATTTGAATAATATTTTGACTGTTTTTAACTCCTTACATACACGATTACAATTTACCATGGAAGTTAGCAATGTCAATTCCATTAGATTTTTAGATATAACTTTAATTGTAGACAACAATAAGAATTTTTGACCAATATCGTAAACTAACATTCTCGAATTTTTAAATTTAATCTAACCATCCGGTTTGTCACAAAAGAGGAATAGTGTATGGTATGGTTGATAGAATAGTTCTTTTGTCCCATTCATGTTACCACCGAAAAAATTTATTGGAGTCTGTTCACATTTCATTAGATAATGGTTACCTACTTCCTTTCATTTTTTTTATTAGCTATTAGAACGAGATTAAAATTTCATTTTTATAATTCTGAAAATCCTATCACTAAAAAAATTGAGTAAAAAATTGAATATTAAGGACAAATATTTTACAGTCCCTTATATAAGATCCGTTTCTGAAAGTTTATTTCCAGTAACATCAACTATAAACTTAAAATCAACCTTTACGATTCCAACACTTTGCAAAACTTTATTAGAGTGGGTAAAGATGTTTTGGATTCTTCAACATTTCATGCCTGGATTGCGATGCGAGTTACCAGGTGTACAAGTATGAAATGCGGATTTGAGAAAACAGATGGCGCATCAATGCAGTGTGTGGTATAAAGATTTGACTGTTATGCCATTTTGAAGTGCCATCAACAAGTGTCAGACGCGCACGAGTGATAAATTGAAAAAGTGTTTGCATAGTGTTGTGTTGCTGTGTTCGATATGTCGAAATTTATACCAAACAAAGAGCATTCGCGGACAGCATTAATTTTTTGTTTTCATTTGAAGAAAACTGCTGCTGAATCATACCGATTACTTCGAGAAGCTTATGGTGAACATGCTCCATCGCAAGATAGTGAACGATGGTTTCGGCGTTTTAAAAGTGGTGACTTCGATGTTGCAGACAAGGAACACGGAAAACCGCCAAAAAGGTACGAAGATGTGGAATTGCAAGCATTGTTGGACGAAGATGATTCACAAACACAAAAACAACTCGCAGAGCAATTGAGCGTTAGTCAACAAGCTGTTTCCAATCGCCTACGAGAGATGGGAAAGATTCAGAAGACCGGAAGATGGGTACCGCATGAGTTGGACGGCAGGCAGATGGAGAGGCGCAAAAACACATGTGAAATTTTGCTTGCACGATACAAAAGGAAGTCGTTTTTGCATCGTATCGTTAGTGGGGATGAAAAGTGGATTTATTTTGAGAATCCCAAGCGCAAAAAATCATGGGTAGACCCAGGCGCACCATCCACATCGACCGCAAGACCGAATCGCTTTGGCAGAAAGACGATGCTCTGTGTTTGATGGGACCTGAAGGGTGTGGTCTATTATGAGCTGTTAAAACCTGATGAAACGGTTAATGCTGGACGCTACCAACAACAATTGATCGATTTGAACCGTTCGCTGCTTGAAAAAAGACCAGAATACCAAAAGAGACAACACAAAGTCATTTTTCTTCATGACAATGCTCCATCACATACGGTAAAACCGGTTCGCGACACGTTGGAAGCACTCAGCTGGGAAGTTCTACCCCATGCGGCTTACTCACCAGACTTGACTCCTTCCGATTACCACTTGTTTGTATCGATGGGTCATGCACTTGCTGAGCAGCGCTTTGGTTCGTACGAAGATGTGAAAAAATGGCTCGATGAATGGTTCGCGGCAAAGGGGGAAGATTTTTAGTGGCGTGGTATCCACAAATTGCCCGAAAGATGAGAAAAATGTGTAACTAGCAATGGAGCATACTTTGAATAAAGATCTTTTTATCATTCTTCCGAATTTAACGTGTTTTTTTTTTGAAAAAAATCCGCATTTCATACTTGTACACCTGGTATGTATGTTGGCCAAACGAAAAGACGGTTGTATACAAGAGTGCAGGAGTACTCTTCTGACATTAACAAAAAAACAGGATCTCTTTCCGTCATTTCAGACCATCGCATTAAATTCACTCATAATTTTGATTGGAAAGATATGAAAATATTAGATATTAAACCATTGTATAATAAAAAGTTAATACCTGAAATGCATATTAAAAAACAATATCAAGGTTTAAATAGACAAACTGATACCGAATCTCTATCCGACAGTTATTTGCCAATACTCCAGTCTCTATTCCCTTCCTAATATTTTCTAGGTATTTGTTCTCACTTTCTTACCTCTAAGTGTCACAGGATGTCAAATTAGATTTGTCATTACTATAATGAGAAGAGTTCTGGATCTCAAAACATTTTTTAATGTTATCGTATTTAAATGTTTATTCTTAGATATTGTACTATCAGTTAACAGGTTCTTTTTATTTATTTTTTTTTTATTTTTACTTTTAATAATCCGATTTGTATATTTACCGATTTGTATATTTGTTCTGGTACTTAATTTTTTTATAAACTTTTATCTTAAGGCATTTTATACATACACAAAAATTGTTAATTTTATTTATGCATTTTACTTTTCATCATTAGACACTTTTTATTTGTATATCCGTATCATCATAATGGAAATTATGGTGTCTGAGTTGAGAAATTTTGATAACTTGCAACTAGTTTTTGTAAAAAAATTTTTATTTATACAATCGTGCAAATTATATTTTAGACAATATTTAAAATTGGTCATTGTCAGATTGAGAATGCAAGTCAAAACCGACTGCGTCTTTAAAGTCATTCTATAAGAGAACCGTTGGATAACCACCAAGTGCCGTAACGTATCTACATTTTGTCTAAATTTTCATCATCTATTTCTTCACATTTATATATTAATTAATGCTCATAACCATCTATAACGAAATTGTACATACACGATGATGAATTTATATTTTATTATTGTACTTTTACCATTTAAATCAGCATATGTATTGACAAGTTATTGTTTTTCAAATGAGCCGTTGATTTCAAATTGTATTTAATTTAAATATTGAAAATAATCCAGTAGGGGTCGAAACGTTTGTATAATAAACTTATATTTTTTTTAGTTGATCTAGCATTAAGATCTAGCTTTGCCCACGTTTTATTTTTAATATAATAATTTTTATTATTTCTCCTTAAAGTGAGTAAAATTTTTTTATTTATCTCTGTATATATTACTCCCTTATAACATCTTAAGATTATTCTCTTACAGTTATTTTTACGTTTTAATATCTTATTTATTTGTCGTTTACGTAATAATTTCTAAACGTACTTAATAATGAAATAATTTTTAAATGTGTATACAGTAAATTTATATTTTGTATCATCTCCTCATTATTACTCATTACAATAATTATACTCGATGAAAAAATGTTTTAAACATAATGGCTTCTTGCATCATGAACATTTTATTACAGCTATATTACTGCATCCTTTGATATCACATGTTGTTGAACTTTTGTCAAAACTAAATTCTACTGGATTTTCAAATTTTTCTGGTCTTTCGTTTGTATAATTACTTTTAAACCATGAATATTTAAATAAGTTGTGATATCGCGGGGATGACAATTGATTATGTATCAAAAATTGTAATTTTATTATATTATTTCATTTATGTATATTAATACAGGGTGCGGCAGAGAAACTTACTTTTTTTAAAGGTTAATAAAAACGAAACTATTGCAGATATCGGTATAATTCTTTTTTCCTCTTATAGATCACCTCATCAAATTTTTTTTCATGCACTTTTGAAAATTACATCTATCAAATGACGGCCGCCGTTGTCTATGCACTTGTTACGTCCAAACTCCGCGCGCATGCGGAGTTGAGGGGGTGAACGTAACGAGGAACCGAATTGTTAGACCGATTTGGTCGCGTCCGGGCTCCGGACCGCAAGGGAGCCGTGGGG